CTTCTCCTTCTGCCTTCAGTCTTTCCCAGTATCAGGATCTTTTCCAATGAGGTGGCTCTTCGCATAAAGTGGCCAAAGTATTGGAGCTTCAACTTCAGCATCAGTCCTTCCAATGAATATTCAGGACTGATTTCCTTTAGAATTTACTGGTTTGATCTCCTTGCAGTCCAACGGACTCTCAAGTCTTCTCCAACACCACAGTTTTAAAAAAATTCAACTCTCTGGCACTCAGCCTTCCTTCTTTATAGTCCAACTCTCCCATCCATACATGACTACTGGAAAAATCAGAGCTTTGACCAGATGGACCTTTGTTGGCAAAGTAATGTCTCTGCTTTTTAATATGCTGTCTAGGTTGGTGATAGCTTTTCTTCCAAGGAGCAAGCATCTTTTAGTTTCATGGCTGCAGTGATTTTGGAGCCCAAGAAAATGAAGTCACCTGTCAGTTTCCATTTTTTCCCCTCTATTTGCCATGAAGTGACAGGATCAGATACCATGATCTATTTTTTGAATGTTGAGTTTGAAGCCAGCTTTTTCACTCTCCTCTTTCACTTTCACCAAGAGGCTCTTTAGTTCCTCTTTGCTTTCTGCTATGAGGGTGGTGTCATCTGCATATCTGAGGCTATTGGTATTTCTCCTGGCAATCTTGATTCCAGCCTGTGCTTCATCCAGCCCAGTGTTTCACATGATGTACTCTGCATATAAGTTAAATAACAAGGGTGACAATATACTAATTTGGAAGAGTCAATATATTTAGGTCTTTAATAATTCTAAAACAAGTCAAATTACAAAATGTAAGATTTGGCAGATCATCAATTCACAATCATCTCTCTTGGTCCGTCTTCATGTAAATACTTTTATTATTTTAATAGCTCTAAGAGTTCATAAACTATATGTAAATCTCTTCTATAATCCTTACAGTGAATTCATGTTATACTAGATAATGACACCACATTATTTTCTTTCAATTTTCTAAAGCAGATCTGTCTCCATAATTGTCTCAAAATTGCTATAATTCCACAAATTATCCTCATTCTTTGACCCTTCCACTGATTTGAGTGCAATCCAACAGGCAATATTGCAGAGTAATACTATAAGGTAATATAAGGGAAAAAATAAGAAAAGAAGTTTTAAGATAGTTAAGTAGTTACTGTCAGCTGAAAATAGAAATAAACATGTTACATATTTTAAATACATAAACTGTAACACCAATAATGACTTGCAGTATAAAAATAGTGGTTCAATATAAAGCATCCTACACTAAGAGCTGAGATTCAAGTTTTGACTTGCTTAGGTGCTAACTCTCCCCATGACTTCATGTAAGATGTTTAGTATTTCCAGCACTCAGCATACACTGTTGAATGAAAATCATTATATAATTAGAACCTCTCCCCTCACTACATGAAACGATAACTCTTCAGATTCAGTTATGTTCAGCAAACAACAGTGATTGTGCGTCTAATGCATTGGGCTTACCCAGTGGCTCAGACAGTAAAGAATACGCCTGTGATGCCGAAGACCCAGGTCTGATCCCTGGGTTGGGAAGAACCCCCAGAGAAGGGAATGGCTACCCACTCCAGTATTCCTGCCTGGTAATGAGAAAGACCAAGTACAAGACTAAAGAGCATAGCTTAATAATTAGCAAGATTTCTAAACTTGGATTCTGACTGGAACTATTTCAATTGAATCCAACAACTGAGTGTCCTCCTGTCTGTGCAAGTGGGAAGATATCTCAGGCAGAGAAAGAGCACCAGGAGACCGGGAGATTAGGGAAAAAACACTGCATTTCCAAACAGAGAAAACAGTATAGCTATATTAAAAGTGTGGGGGTACAAGGGCAGAGGAACAGTGCCAACAGTTGTAGTGAGAAATGCCAGAAGAAACCAGGAGCAAAGTTACACAGGCTTTGTAAGCCGTATGGGTAACTTTGGACCTCATTCTAAGAACAGTGAAGAATAATTAAAGGGTTTAAGCAATGGTACGACACGATTTGTTTTCCAGTTATGAAAACTCTTTCAGGCTGAAGTGGATAGAATAGACAGCCATGGACAAGACTGGAGACAAGGAAACCAGTTAAGAAACAGTTCTGAGACAAAGGAGGCCTGAATTAGAAGGCAGTACAACCGTAATAAGAAGTAAGACTTCTAAAGTCATTTGTGTGTGTATGTGTTAGTTGCTCAGTTGTGTCTGACTCCTTGCAACTCCATAGACTGTAGCCCACCAGGCTGCTCCATCCATGGAATTCTCCAGACAAGAATACTGGAGTGGGTAGCCATTCTCTTCTCCAGGGAATTTTCCTGACCCAGGGATTGAACCTGGGTTTCCTGCATTGCAGGCAGATTCTTTACGGTCTGAGCCACCTGAAGTCACTTGCCTGGATTCGAATCTCAGATTTTTCACTTATCCAGTTGCTTACTATCTATACATGTTTCCCTATCTATAATCCAGAGGGAAAAATCCTCACAGGGTTGTTGCCAAGGAACAAATAATACTCACACAACAGTTAGCATGTTGCTTGGTACATAGGAAAAATGCAAATGTTTACTATCATTAATGTAACATTAATGGGGTGGAGAAATGAGAATATAACCGAAAGATGCTTAGGAAACAGAAATTGACAGTTAGGGTACAGGAAAAAGGGGAAAGGAAAAAGTGGACAAACTCTATAGTTTCTAGCTTGCATAGTAGCACTATTTGATAAGATAAGAAACACAGAAATTAAACTGAAACACAGAAACTTTTTGAAGGTTTTGAAGGAGAAAACAGTGTTCACTTTTTAATAAATTGATTGGGAGATTCCAGTAGGCAGGTGTATCTATCACTCTAAAGTGAAGCAAAGAGATCAAGGCTGAAGAGCTGAGAATGAGAGAGACAGATGGTAATTAAGTCCATGGGGGTTGATGAGAGCCTTTAGAGAGAGAATACATAGAGCAAAGAAATGCTGACAAGGTAGAAAGGTGAAACACCAACATGTAAATGATGGGCAGAGGAAGAGAAACCTGCAAAGGACACTGAGAGAAAAGGGGCAGAGGAATAAGAGAAAAATAGTGTCAGAACTCAAAAGCCAAAAGAAAAAAAGTGTTTCAAACTAAAGGGAGCACCCAAGAGTGTCAATGGAATAAGGTAAGAACTGAGTTTTTGCTGGATTTAGTAACAAAGCTATTCATTCACATAATAAATAATAAATGTGTCAAACATTGTGCCAGGCTCTGGAGATACAAAGGTAAATAAGACAGAACCTTGCAAACAAAGACTCTTAAGTCTTGAAGAAATACAGTAAACTAATATACAGACAAAATACTCACAGATTGTAACAACAGATAAAGTGACAGGATCAAATAAAAGGCAGAGACCAGCTTTAGATACGCAGCTTGGGTGGGCATCTCTCTGAGGAAAGAACATTTAAACTGAGATCTAAGGTGGGAAAGGGTTTAGCTTAGTCAAAAAACTGAAAGACATCCTAAGGCTACAGCATAATGGTGGAAGAGAGATGGAGAGAAAATCCAGACACGTTTGTAGATTATGCTAAAGGCATAGTGAGAAGTTTAGATGATGACCTGTTGAGCATTAGTAAGTAGGGAAGTGAAGGTTACTCTAGCTAACAGCACTGATTAGTTTGCTTTTCCTCGTTTATACTAGTCTTAATAATCAGAAATAGGACATTATACCACTCTTCAACCATTAACTGTTTATTACAATATCAGAAGAAACTTTCCTATTTTAATAGGTACTACATGATTACAGCATGTTACCCGTTACATTAATTTACCTATTTTAAACTTCTTCCATAGATACTTCTGATATCTACTTAATTCTATCACTAAATTAAAATATAATTTAATTTGAAATTATCTGAGATTACTGAGATTAATCTGAGATTACTCATTTTTCAGAATTTGGATGTTTTATAACAAGAAGACTCAGCAAAGTGTTACTAAATTGTTATGGGCCAATAACACACACACCAAAAAAACTGACGGGCTTCATCAAAAAAGAAAAGAAGGAGACTATATTCTGTAGTATTATTATATTCCACAGTTTCAGGTTCCTATTTCCTTAATCTATGCATTTATATACATGTATATGATAAAGAAAACCTGATGCAGAAAACTTTGGCTTGATTCTGAACAGCCAAATTATATTTCATATTGTTTTTTCATTTCTTTATCTGCAAGAAGAATTCAGAGCCCTTCCATATTTCACAAAGACATCAAGAGTATAAAATGCTACCACTTAATATCTATTGTCAGACAGTCAGCTAGGCCCACTACATAAATTACTTTTTATTGTCCTCATACTCCAAAAAGTAGGTATTCTTCAAATTTTAAAGATGAAAAAACATGACCTCAGTGAGGTCAGGTGACTTGCCCAAGACTGCAGAGCTAGCCCAATCCTATAATCTTGAAAACTCTCAGACCATTAACAGATTTGGGTTCCTTAAAAAACCCTATCAGATATGAGATATTAAATCATAAAGATGAATTTTTAAATGATAACAAATGGTATTTTATTTAATTTTTAACAAACCATATATAACTTAGAAATACTTGCCATATACACCATTCCTGTATATTTCTTCCTTTGGCATAACTTGATAGTTTTTTCTTAGTGATAGATAAAAAGAAGATAGAAAAGATAACAACAAGAATTACTATTCTGGGTCCAAAAAATTGACAGTTAATCCTTAATACACATATTAAGTCCAATGAACTACTAGTAATTAACTGCCTATTCTCACAAAACTATGTCTCTCAAAATTAAAAACTACAAATGGCCTAAGGTTTTCCTGAATCAGACAAATCTAACCTCTGATTAGAACCTCTAAATGTCACTAATTTTCTGAACTTGAAAGGTAACAAATTTGAATAAAAAGATCATAATTTTTCTCAGCATAATCTATACATTTACTGAATTGTGAGCTCTTCCTACTAAGACTTTTCAGGTAGCTATGTCATCTACCAAGATATTGTCTGAAGAAGTCTAGATATTTAACAAAAAGAAACTGCTGCCAGATCATCTTTATTTTCCTTAACAAAATACACATAAGAGCACAAAATTCACTTATAATATCATCATTATTTTACAAATATAAATAATGCTCAAAATTCAAGTACAGTCAAGTGCAGAGATATTTCCTATATGTTAATATGTAAACATAAGCTAACTATATACATCAGGTACCTCTGGCCCGGCTGCAAGATAAGAGACATCAAAAGTAACACTGCACTTGACTGTTCAACTGCATTCTTATTGAGAATTCACACAAATGCCTATATTGTTACTGACACTTTCATACCTCTTAATGTAAATGCCTAAATAGATATTTTACCCCCTGGCAAATATCTCAAGAGTTAAAATTCTATCCATTTTAATAATGAAGTATTAAAAATCTTAATTGAGTTTCATTCCTTAAAACAAATGCTATTAGAACTTTTTCCTAACCAAAGCTCTTCTTATGCCAAATGTATTTACAGGTCACAAGTAGAAAACAAAACTTCTCTTATATTTGTTTACTTTTAGAACAGAAAAAAATACCTAAACGTTGCCTAAAGAGTGTGGGTTTCTGTACATTCAAAAGGATTCTACTTTACTGACACTACGTGCTTTTAGTTTTAACACCGAGTAGACATAACTTTGATATATTGAAATAGCTAGGCAATCTGAAATTCAAACGATACCAAGCATGTCTTTGAGGGGGCAAAAAAAAAAGAAAGCACCACCTAAAAAAGCAATAACTGACATCAGCAAGACTACAAATATCCAGTTGAAGGCACATGGAAGCATCTACTACATTGTCAAAGATTCTCCACTTAGTTCAGGATCAGGAACAGCATCAGCTCTGGGAACTGCTGGCTTGTCCTCACTCATTGAGGTTTCTTCATTCTCGGTCTCTTGTTTCTCCTCTGGTTCCTCTATGCCAGATGCTTGTTCAAGCACTGGGTTTGTCTGCTCCATATCTGGTATGTTGTCATCTGTCTGTTCTGTACTATTATCTAGAACATCTTGTTCTTCTAAAGATTCTGAAAAGATAAAGAGTAAAGACTTTAGGAATAGCCAATAACTACTAAATAAGATAAGCACATGCAAACAGAGACTAAGAAACAGAAGAATAGTCTAACATTATCCTTAAAATATATCTTTTTAATGTACTTAAGTACATCATGCATGCATACTCAAGTCGCTAAGTCATGTAGATTCTTTTGCAATCCCATGGACTGTAGCTCACCAGACTCTTCTGTTCATGGGATCTTCCAGGCAAGAATACTGGAGTGGGTTGCCATGCCCTTCTCCAGGGGATATTCCCAACCCAAGGATCAAACCCACGTCTCCTGCATTGGCAGGCAGATTCTTTACCACTGAGCCACTTTGGAAGCCTATCCCTATAGCATACCATACATGAAATGGTATGAATGAAGGAAAAAACAATTTGGGGGAAACATACCCATAAACATAATTTTACCTAAAGCTCCATCGTTCACAAAATAAATGAACTTTCAGAACTTTCCTAAAGATGGATTTGAAAGCTGAATGTCCGAATATATCAAAATTCCAATAGAATTATGTATTATAAGACAACAGCCCAGCAAAAACAGCAAATGCACTAACTCCCAGATTATGTTTTCTGAAGGAACTAGTCTCTCTTGCATCCAGGCAACACTGTGACCAATGTGTAAATGTGTACCTTTGTATGTGTGCATGTGTGTGTATAGGTGGTGTGATTTCCCACACTGATTTACATCTCTATTATCCATGACTGTGGGGGTCTGGATTCTCCTTTTCCAAAGTCAAGACAAGTCTTCCTTCATCCCTGTGCAAGACAAGTCCTTGGGATTTAAACCTTTGGGTCAGAATATGCTACATACCTTGAATGCTAGGGAGAGAAAGCGAAGAGTCTTTTGCCTCTGACTCCATTAGCAGAGGCCAAGTAAGGGCATTGGTTCCTAACCTGAAAGTTTACTCCCTTCAAACTCTCTTTTGAGTTTCATTAAACTCAAATCTCTTAATAATAATTTAATAATAATAACTTTAATTCTTCAAAGTTTAAAGAATAGGATAGGGAAGGAAATGACAGGAGCAGAGTTTTGGGCCACTCAATTTCCAAATCAAAGATAAACACCTAACTTTGAGGTGTTTCTTTGTTTTGTTTCTGTAATAAATAGCAACTAATATTACTGCTAGGAGAAATATGGTTAAACTACATCAGCAAAGCAAATAAGGAGATTTTCATACCCTCACAGATGATCCCTTATAATACATTACAAATGCTATTGATTCAAAAATCTGGAGGACAGGCCAGTTTACACTAGTAAAATGTTCTAGTTTTGCTCCTTGTAGAATAGTAACCCACTCCAGTATTCTTGCTGGAGAATCCCATGGACAGAGGAATCAGGTGGGCTACAGTCCATAGAGTTGCAAAGAGTCGGACACAACTAAAGCAACTTAGCACATAGTAAATGCCAGCATTTTGATAACAAAATTAATACCTTTTCAAGAAAATATGCACACCTGTTGACATGGAGGTTTTATAAATTCATGGTTTTATCATATCATTTTTAATAAATACAAATTATCTATATCACATACTCTATGTGGAGTTGAATAGAATTTTTTAACTTATTTTTAAACAGATATTTTAGACTCTAGTTTATGGAATTAATTACAATCTCTTTCTCTCTTTTTATATATAGAACAAAAAGTCAAAACTGCATAGCTAGGGACATCCAAGTTAATGAGGTTTACTGTATGGAAAATTCATATGCTCACAAAAAGATGAGGAATGTTCACATGTCACAAAAATGCTATTTTTTATTGTAAAAGGAACATAAAATGGCACTGTGCACCACTTGGAATCTTACAAAAATCCAAAGTTGAAAAGCAGTAGGTCGAGTTGTGTTACACGAAGTTCTGTTATATCCAGTGGTCAAGGGAAAAGCAGAAAGTGAAATGAAACTCTATGGACATGTACAGACCATTTCTGCTACAAGGGCAAGCAAACTCTTCAGTGGAAAACTTCAGGAGTCAATAAGTGAAAGTCACTCAGTCGTGTCCAACCCTTTGCAACCCCATGGAGAACAGTGGAGTGGATAGCCCTTCCCTTCTCCAGGGGATCTTCCCAACCCAGGGATTGAACCCAGGTCTCCCGCATTGCAGGCGGATTCTTTACCAGCTGAGCCACAAGGGAAGTCAATAACCATTTGTAATTCTACCTTCACAGAATTTATCCAGGGTAGAATTTTAAGAGTCACGGTTTTCTACAACTCTCTGGCCATAGAGAAATACTTACTTGCCAAGAATTTTACAAGTCATTATGATTTAGTAAACCCTCCAATAAAGTTACATGAAATGAAAAAATAAAAAGCTCAGAACTCAGGACTCAACTCATCAATAAACATGCTTCAGTGAACATGGGCCCACATAGTTTGTTATCTGTTTGACAGATTAACTCAGTATTAAACAGGAGAGGTACCAAAGTTTATGATTTATCATATTAAAGCTTTGTAATGTAATTATTTTCAGAAACAGACATATCCCCAGTCAAATACAATGCAAATTTAAAAATTCTGGGATCTTTAAGAAGCAGTTAATACAAAGAGAAAAATTATAATATTTAACTTTTTTAAATGTCTATAGAGGTGAATTCTAAGAAATACCATGTGAATTCTATGAAAGTCAATTATTTTCATAATCAGAAAATAGCATTATATACAAAACTTGCTCATTAATACTGTATTTCAGAAAATATACAAGAGACTAAAAAATGATGAAATGATGAATAGGGTTTGAGAACAAAAAGCCTATTAATGACTACTTTTCTTCCCCCAGGTTAATCTGTAGAAAAGTAATATTAATAGCAGTTAATGCTACAAAAATTTGGTATGTGTTGTGATACCTATAATGCAGATATCAGCTAGTCTAAACAACATAAATATTCAATGTATGGATGTCAATGTCATTTCGTGAGAGGTCATCCCAACAAGCTTTAAGTGAACTAGGTGCAGAAGATTGACAGAGATTTAATTACATATCAGTTTAATAACTAAACCACAGAACTTTATAAAAAGATTATTAAATATATTCCAAAAGTACTTACTTTATTTCTGTGGGAGAGTATCATTTGCCTGTTCTAATAAAAACAGTAAATTTTTTCTGTGAAGCTATAGTTTATATATAATAGCTTGGTATATAAAATTCATTACAGTAGATGTCAACATTTGGGCATAAAATACCAAAAGAGAAACCATATTTCATGTTCACACTAATTAAACAGATCTACTCTCCCCTGTTCAGCACCAGCTTAAGACTAAAATTAATACAAGGTTACCCGAATGACCTAATTCCATCTGTAAGAAAATTTTTAAAATCACCTTTGACAACTGTAATGCCAAGAAAACAATCTATCACAATGTGATAAAACAAAAATGACCCATGGGATTTGTTCCTTACCTGACTCCTTTCCCTTCTACTCTCCTACCCGAATATTCTTGAGAGAAAAGCTTTTCCCACCAAATTGTAACAGTTGGCTTCCGGTTGTTTGGGTAAAGCTTCAATTCACCTAGATAGCTCAACCTCATAAAACTGAATGTAACTGTATAATGAACACCACCACTGCCTCACCTATAAACCACAAACATGCAAATCATTTAAGAAGACCATCGTCCCCTTAGGTTTTTATTCTAGCTCTTGAAAGGATAATTCTCTAAAAAAATTAAAGAATAGTTAACAAAACAATTTCATACATCTCCAAAAGAAACACATAATTTCTGCAGCAAAATACATGATTCTATTTATATTATGTATTCCAAAACTCCTAATATTTTGGTGATTTAGATTCTTACTTCTTATTCCTTTTTACAATAACTTTAAAAAAATTTTGCCTTGCTAACACATCAGTACCTACTATATGTACAAACTATAAAACTTACCCAAAAGACATTTGTTAAATTAAAATGGACAATTTGTCTCTAACTCACAGATTTTAAAGTTTTTTAAAGATTTTTCTGCCTTAAGAAAAACAGCCAACTTACATTCAAGGACTAAAGACATGAATTTCATCCCACAATGCAACCTAATGGCTCAATGAATAAAATTCAAATAAATTATAACCACCTATGAGAAAATAGCTCATTTTAAACATAAAAATGCTGTGTAATTATTTACCATGTGTGAACAAATCCATTAGATGAATCATTAGAATGTCATTATTAAGCAATAATGTAAAACTATTAGGTGAAGGTGTTTCAGAAAAGGAAATCAAAAGGCTAAAAGATCTATATGTCTAAAACAAGCATGAATAAAAACATATTATAGGCAACTTTACATCTTGGGTAAGCTATACATAGCTAAAAATAGACATAAGTTTTTCTGATCTGATACATAGAATTCAATAAAATCTACATTATCAAATAGTACAATTTCCTAAAGCACCTAAGTAAGCAAAACTGAAAACAGAACTTTCCCTAGTTCAACATAACCTAATGGCAACAGTACATTGCTTAAACAAAAGAAAGGGAAGAGCAAAAATCAGATTATCAAGATAAATTTTACCTTATATAAATTTTACTTGCTATTTTTGATAGTACTAAGTAGATGCCATGAGTTTTATTACTAGCAAGTTATTTCCAGTTAATAAAAGCTATATTCTACTAAAATAATTACATAAAATCTAACTAAATATAACTGAACAATGAAAACAATATTAATGTTTTTTAAACATGCTAACTCCAAATCACTATACTGGAATATTAACAGTGTAGTACCCTTGTACTCTAATTATTACCATATCTAACAAAAAGAATGCTATGAATCAATTATCTTGAAAAACACATTTAAAAAAGAAGAAAAACTGATAAACTGATTTTAACGTGGCTTAGCAGACACTCAAATATTACTGTACTATTCATTTCACAATAAAAGAAACCAAGGAAACTAAAAACCACCTCATTACTTTGGCATACCATATCTAGTATGCTCTTAGGATAAAGTGACAATCTTAATTTTTTTGTTTTCTCTAATAGTTTATTACCAAAACATCTGTGTACATAGTTTTAGAAAAAATTTTAGGAATTCAAATGAGCAGTTAACAGGAGGAATTTCTTTCTTCTAGCGTTCCTTCTTTGATGAAAACTTTCCAAGGTTTCATGTGTTGTTCCAAGAGTGATCCAAAAATTTCAAAAGCCTTATGCCTCATCCTAAATGCAAATATTCCAGTAGAAGGAAGACAAAATGTACAGTCTTGCATCATAAATTGAAAAAAGGATTTCTTGTATTAATTCTAGATTCACATAAACAGTTATGAATTATTCTTTGGAAAAAACATTCAGACGAAAGAAAGGTACCTTTTGGTTCCAGCTGTAAATTCAGTAATGCAATTTCAAGAAGCTGGTTCAATACTTTAAAAAACATATAAAAATTAAAACAGGAAAGTTTTTCTTTCAGACCCTAAGTTTTGTGTAATTTTTCTACACAAAAGTGTAGAAATCAGCAATCTAAGCCCTTAATCACATTGGCTGTCAACAGAGGGAGTAGCTGATTGAGATGATATGCTCCTTACTTCACAGTTCAATTTAATCATAAAGATATGCCACCAGTGTTTAAATAAATGTAGCTTCATCTCTTCATCAGAAATACTTCCCGCCATTTACTAATGAAATCCAGCTTGAAATTGATAACGGTATATCACAGTGTTGAGACAAGAGTCTTGGAAAAAATTTTGTCTTCTGACAAACCAAAGAAGTAAAACGATGCTCATAATAGCCATTTTGATGAATCCAAAGAGAAGAATGAAGAAATTACTACTATAGTGACTATCTTAACCAAATGGAATTGTTGCTTCAGTGTCTAGCATTGTGGAGCTATCATACCTTGCCTCAATGTCTTCACCTATTAACGTTACCTTATTAGGGTTGAGTTTGAGCCAGTTAGACTTCATTCCGGAGGTTTCTGACAGAAAATGAGACATCTGGGGTATTGCTCCTCCTAGATTAGATGAGAAGGAAAGGTATAGCTGGGTGTGGTTTGCTAACTTTGCATCTTGACCTTAGCAGAAGATACAAAGTATGGGACTCATTATCAAGATATCTATTTTGTTGGCTGTTTTTCTTTTTTTGTCCCAACTATTGGCTTTCAAATATTCACTTTAGCTTTCATAAGCAAAGTTGCTCATGGCAGGGACTCCAATTTTTCCTCTAGGCATCTTCAGGTTGGAATTCTTTAATTTTCAGTTCCAAGAGGGTGCAATGGCAAGGCAGATGATTTGCATGTGACAGCATGCAGCTCAGAGCATGACTTAAGCAAAAGAAAAAAGTCTGACATTGTGTTTGGAGTTGATGTTGCAGACATGGAGAAGACAAATATAATGATTCAGCGTTGAAGTACACAGGCCTCTTGTCATGGCTATCTGTATTCAAATTCATTTTGATATTTGTTAGTAAGCCAGAAGCCAAGCCCAAGTCAACACACGTATTTTAGGTTCATTCTTCAAAGTTTAAAAAAACAAATATAGTCAAATTCTCATACTAAACGTCAATGTGTGAAAATTCACTGCCTTGTATATTATTCTGTTAAAGCACTTTTTTTTACTACTCAGTGATTTTATAAAGAAATCAAATATATGTAAATGATAACTTCTAGAAGTTAAAAGAATGAATACTGACTGCTACCTTAAACTATGTGAACGAAATTTCCCATATGGATTTTTTTTTTTTTTCTGTACGGGTGAAGCACCAAAACATCAGGGACTGTGTCATAACTTTAGCAATCTTCATAATTCAGAGCTGCTTAACAAATAGTTCCTCACCCAATATTAATAACAAGAAATAGTTGGCAATTAATAGTCAGATCTTCCATCTCATCTTTTCCATTTTTTCAGGAAACTTCCTCAGGAATTCCTAAAACAGAACTGAAAGATAAGTTCTAAAACTCAATGAATCCTGACAACTTCCATTTCTTTAAAATAAGGTTGCTTTACAACAAAGGCATTCATCAGCAATATTAAATCCTGTGGACCTCAATAAATTGTCTATTTCAAAGGAACACCAATCCTGTTAATATAGTCATCCAAAGAATATAAGGCTGACTTTTCAACTTCAGAGTTTACTGTTTTCGAGTAACTTCTAGTCATAGAAATGGTAAGGCACAAACCTATATTTATCAGTGTTAACTACAATTATTATAAGAAATTGACCCTTATGAGTAGTGGCTTCATAATTGTCTTAAATCTGCTTCATTTACATAAACTGAAAAACAATTCCATGAAAGTATTACTAGTTAAATCTCCCAACAGTTAATTAAAAAGATAACTCCATAAATAATATTTACCAAACTATTTCTAGATCCTGCTTAACACAATATATATTTTAAAACTCAAACACATCAAACCAATTGCGTAGGAGCCCATAATATCAGAGCAATATGTGATATATGCATGCTGCAAAATCTGATCCATTTTTGTCTAAAACAATTATGCTTTTATTGTTGAAAGCAAACATTATCAAGAGACAAAACTTTTTAATTAACATATTCACACCTTCATTGATCTGGTTCTCTGATGAAATTACGCTTCCTGAGGGCAAGGTGCCAACTGTACTTGAGCCTTCCAATGCCTGCCTCTTTTCAAAACTAAATTCTGGAAGTCTTGGAGCCTGGGGTCTGGTTTTTCTTGCAGGATTCAAGAAAAAACAGTAGGCACAACGAAAAGCTGTAGAGAATTAAAAAGAAAAATACCATTAACCAAAGAAACTTTAAGGACTAATCAAGTAACCCTCAAGGTTATTTTTACAAAGAACCTTTCTAAAGCCATTTATTCCTTGTGAAATTACACATAGTTTTAATAATATTATGGCAGGTGTTCTAACCAAAGTTTATTTTAAAACACATTTTTAAATTATTATTAGAATTATAATATCAATTTAAAGCAGCAAAGATAATAAGTTACATAGCAGGTTAACTAATAGTAAAACAATAATAATGATCTAAATGTATTACAGAGATTACATTTCTAGTCACCACTAGGTATCTTAAAAGCCAGAACTTTACTCATCTGCCCCCCAAAATGTTGCATGTTATATTTGAGAAGATGATTAATTTAGTTCAATATTTTTAAACAGTAGCTGCACATGAAAATATTCTGAAGAGCTTTAAAAAAACGCTGATGCCTGGGCCCCACCTCAGATCAACTAAAACAGATTATTTGTTAGGTGGAATCTGGGCATCACAATGTTTAAAAGCTCTCCAGGTTAATTCTGATGCACAGTGAAAGTTTAAGAATAGCTAGCCTAGAAGTTGTACACTGTATGAAGAAAAAACCTGAGCTGTCTTTTCTACTTTGCTCTGTGTTCTATAATATGCCTGAACACCACATACAGAGCGATATCTAAAACAAAATGGCATTACATGGGAATTGGCACAGAATGAAATATTTAAGAGTAAAATATTTAAAATCTAACTGCCAAAAATTCTTACCAATGTACTCAAATTCTTCTTTCAAAGCCATGCCATTGTGAGAAAAACACTGCTGACATATAAGGGCATACCTACAGCGAAAGGAAAAATGAACAGATCAGTTACAAATGAGACAAAACAAGCAGGAGAAGCTACTTTAGCCATCACAGCTAAAGTACACAGTTAGATTACATAGCATTTAATGTAGCTAGATGTGCCATAACAGATATTACTTTGTAAACAATAAACAACACTCTTTATGATAACAGTCAAAATTTCAATTACTTTAAAGTATTATATATCAAATTAAAAATAAACTAAGAAACAAATAGAATTTTCTTACTAAGTAAGCAGAAATGTATTTGATAACAGAACACTTAAATTTTAATGTTTCCTAACATATATTCCTGGGGATGACAGACCCCAAATCTGTGATCAGATAAAGAGTAGAAAAGATGAAGCCTCTTAGAGATTCACAAATGAGTATTATTAAAACCTCTGTGAAGTCTTGTAGTAAAGAAATTAATTTAATTTTGTTTAGTCCAGTCCAAAGGTTAATTTCTGTGTATCATGATTTCTTAGCTATCCCAGTTACACTTAAACATCTTCCACATTTTCTATTTATATACCCTTTCTGTTCTCCAAGTAAGTACTTAATAAATACCTGGCCCTAACAAACAACATTCTATCTGTTTGAAGAACATATAATTTTTCACATTAACATTAAATTCTAGTCTCTTTATTAAGACCCAGAGGGATGGGATGGGGAGGGAGGTGGGAGCGGGGATCAGGATGGGGAACACATGTAAATCCATGGCTGATTCATGTCAATGTATGGCAAAAACCACTACAATATTGTAAAGTAATTAGCCTCCAACTAATAAAAATAAATGAAAAAAAAAGAATAATATTAACCAATAACCTTGTCAAATATCTATTCTTAAAATACCTTAAGAATTATTTAAAAATCTATACTATGATGATTGCTCTGCTCATATCATACTTATAATCCCAGAGTTATTATAAGGATCAATTAAAATAACTGGAGAAGCATTCTGGAACTGTAAGTGTCAAATACATGAAACTGTCCTCACTGTTATTAAAATTACCAGCATCATTAAGTCCAGTACTCACATCTATAAAACTCCATTTCTTATAACCTACCAACTTTTCACTATTTACAAACTCTTCAACTTCAAAAGATGCAACAAAATGATTCAAATTCTCTAAAAATAATGTTATAGCAGGGTTATAACATAGCAGTTACAATATTGTTTTGTTATATATAATACGTTTTAAAATATTTTATCCAAATACTTTACCTAATCTACTACTGAAAAATAACTGAGTATGTACTCTTTTGCAGGGCCATAAAATACTCCATTATGTTCTAAAGTCAGGAGACAAGAACCACAAAATCACAGAACATTTAGTGCATGTGCACATGTGCGTACACACACACACACCCCCACTCTGACCAATAAACTTTCTTCATTTTCATTTAGCTACACCCTAGTAAACATTACCTGTTCTGTGGACCATCACCAACTAAATATTCAACAATTCTATCCAGAGCACCTCGTTCTCGAGGCAGAATGGGTCTTGCTAAAGGTGGACCAGGAGGATGAAGACCTAGTAAATAAATATACACAAAATTTATATGTGTAAAATACATTTAAACTTCAATTCAGTTGCCAAGAACTACCTATGCTCATTTAAATGATTTTAGCAAAACAAAAATGATATTATCATCTCTGTATTCAAATTTTCATTAAAAATACTATACTACGAAACTATATTTATATATGTGCTATATTAGAACCAGCAACATAATCTATTAAGGAATAAAACTATGTTGAGTTCTGTACAAATTAATTTTTTAAATGCTCAGACTCTTAAAAGTTTATGTAATAATAAACTAGGAGACTTACACTTTGTACCATAATACATTAATCAGAGTCAGATTTAATCTCCCACTTAGAACAACTAAAATACCATGTAAAATATATTATGCAATGGTTTTAGAGACATTGGATATCAAGTAATGTAGGATAAGGATCCCTGAGACACATAAAGCAAATAAGATGAGCCCTACCACTGCCCCAACTTATTGCCTGGAGAGTTTTCCAGATAGCAACTCAGGCAGAGTAAATCCAGGTGAAGTTCATTATTCTCCCTGAGTTGAAGAGAGAAAGCTGGAACGCTGGGGAGGACAAGGCAGGCTGAGTTCACCGGGAACAGTACCAGAGAGGAGGGAATGCAGAAAGCCAGAACACCAAAGATATGCCCAGGATGCAAATGAGAAAAACCACCTGAGGACAGAGAAAGAACTGCCCCCAAAATACTAAAGGTACCAGTGCTCACATGGGGCCAAAAATATCACATGTTCCCACCAGCCAGGATGGAAAACTTCATAACTCACATGTCACTGGGTAAATATTCAGAGAGGCCCTGTACAGTAATTTAAAAATATCCTGTACCCAATACAGCAAAATTTACAATGTCTGACATCAGATAAAAAAGTATTAGTCATGCAAATTGGCAAGAAAATAAAACCCATAATGAGAAGAATCAATCAAAAGTGACCCAGAAATGATGAAGATGATAGCATTAAGAGACAAACATATTAAAAACACTTATGACTATATTCCATATGCTTGAGAATCTAGGTGAAAACTAATATGTTAAGCAGAGACATGAAAAAAAGTATAAAAGATCTAAACTGAACCTCTACAGATGAAACCTACAATGTCTTAGATTTAAAAATTCACAGATGAAATGAACAGCAGTTTTAATATTACAAAAAAATTAGTAAATCTAAAGACAGCAATAGAAGCCATGCAAAATGAAACACAAAGACTAAAAAGATTTTTAAATGAACAAATCTTCAGTGAGCTGTGTAACAACCTCAAGCATCTAGTATACACATAATTGGAGTTCAGAAGAAGAGAGGAAGAAAAATTGACTCAAAGAAATAATGCACAAAAATTTTCAAAACCTGATGAAAACCGTAAACATACAGACCCAAGAATATCAACAAACCCTAAGTACAAGAAACAATTTCGCACCAAGATACAGCATAATCAACCTTCTTAAAACCAGTGACAGAAAATCTTAAAAGCAGTGAGAAAAAGATACATTAGTAAAGAGAAACAAAGATAAGAATGACAGATTACTCATCAGAAAATAAGCAAGCCAGAAGACAATGAAACAGTATCTTTAAAGTTCTGAAAGAAAAACTATCAAATTAGTGAAACTATCTGTATTAGTGAAGACATCTTTTAAAAATGAAGGCAAAATGAAGACTTTTTTCAGACATACAAAACTGAAAGAATTCATAACTAACAGAACTGTACTATAAGAAATGTTAAAAGAAATCCTTCACGCAGAAGGAAACTGACACCAGACAGAAAGCTGGATCACACAAAAGAAAGAGTACTTGAAATGGTTACCATGTGGGTAAATATATAAAACATTATTTATATTGCTTTAAAAAACAATTGATGGCTTAAAGAAAAAGTAATACAGGTTTCCCTTGCTATCCATAAGTTCCCATGAAAGCTTTCGTTAAGCCAAAATGGCATAAAGTGTAGAAGCAATTACCTTAGGACACATCTTGCTAACGGATGCACAAAATAAATTGAGACAAAGCACAGATGCTCACAGACAAAGTTCAAAGCTATGGCGGCTTGATGATGAGATGCTGAGTGTAGTTCCCAGGGAAGGAGCTTGGTGGTGCCACTCTTGCTGCTCAGGATGCACGCTGCCTCTACAACGGCTCGCTGCAAAACAAATGCTGAACGCTATTTTCGCTTTTCGTCTTTTTTTGTAAAAGCGAAAACCTTCTTCCTATTCTTTCAATTAGTGGAAACAGGCACTAATGTAGGTCTTTCATAAAAGCAAAGTGGTGTAAAGTGAACTTTCAAAATGTGGAGGATATCTGTAATTCCTTGTGGGGTTTATAACACATGTATAAGTAAAATGTATGACAACAATACCACAAAGGCCAAGGGGAGAGAAACATTAAGAATACTGTAATTTGATTCTTAATCTGTATGAGAACTGGTGTCGTACCATTTGACATGAGCTATGATAAATTAATGATACATACTGCAAACTCTAAAGTACCCACTAAAACAAAAAAGCACTATAGCTAATAAGGCAACAACAAAAAAATTATTAAAAGCAATCACAAAAGATACTCAACCCACAAGAGGCAGAAAACAAGAAAGGTAGCAGAACAGATGGAACAAATAGAAAGCTAGCACCATAAAAGATTTAAACTCAAACCTAAACATGCCAATCATTACATTAAATATAAGTGGCCTGAGCATCCTCACTATAAGGCAAAGATTGTCAGAATGGATAAAAAAGCAAGACCCAACAGATGCTGCTTACAAAAGATCCATTTTAAATATAAAAAAACAGACAGACTAAATGCAAATGATAGGGAAAACTACATAAATATGCTGACACTAATCAAAAGAAACCAAGAGCACCTGTATTAATAGCAATCAAAGTAGATTCTGGAGCAAAGAATATAAACAGGGATAAAAATGTAATTTCATAATGACAAGAAGCCAATTCATCAAGAGGACATAATAATCCTAAACCTATGATGTATGTGCATTATAATAGAGTTTTCAAAACACATTATGCAAAAACCAGAAGTAATACAAAAAGAAATAAGTACACATTTATAGCTGGAGATATCAACAGCATTCTCTCAAGCACTAACAGAATAAACAGCAAAAAATCATTAATGATACATAATACTATCTACTTAACCAACTTGATGCAATCAACATTTACAGCCATTCTACCCAACAGGAACAAAACATATATTCTTTCCAAGTGAACGTAAAGCATATACCAAGATAAATGATAGTATGAAACATAAAACAAATCTCAATACATTCACGAAGATTCAATATTACAAAGTATGTTTTCTGACCACAACAGAATTAAACTAGAAATCAGCAACAAAAAGACATCAGGAAAATATCCAAATATTTGAAGACTCAATAATATATAACTAAATAATCCAAGCTTTAAAGAAAAATAAATTAGAAAGTATTTTTAACTGAAAGAACAAAAAGGCAAATCAAATTTATGATATGCAACTAAAACAATACTTAGAGGAAAGTTTATAACACTAAACACCTATACTGCTAAACACCTACAAAAGAAGATAGATCTAAAATCCATAAATTCAGTTTCTACATTAAGAACCTAAAAGGAAAGAGCAAATGAAACCCAAAGTAAACAGAATAAATGAAATAATAAAGATCAGAATGGAAATTAATAAAAATATACTGTAATAATAGAGAAAAGCTAGTTCTTTGAGAAGACCAAACTGATAAAGACAAAACTGATAAAGCTCTAGTCAGACTAATCAGGATAAAAAGGAAAGATACAAAATATTAACAATGAGAGGAATGACATAAATCCAGATAGTAAAGATATTAAAAGAATAATGAGGGTATATTATGAATAACTTTATGCCAATAAATTCTGTAAGTTAGGAGAAACAAATTCCTCAAAAGACTACCAAACTACCACAACTTCCTCAACAAGAAACAGAAACTTCAACTTGCTAAAATTTTGTTAAGAATTTTTGCATCTATATTTATAGGGATATTAGTCTGTAGTTTTCTTTTTTAAAACAAGTTGAATGTTTTTTTAAAAAAGAAAAAACCTTCCACAAAGAAAACACCAGGCCTAGCCACTTCAACCTGTAACATTTAAATTTATTACTAAGAAATAATACCAATTCTATACAAACTTGTCCATAAAACTAAAGACAAGAAACTGCTTTCTCATACTGAGGCCAGCAATACTCTTATACCAAAATCAGACCGAAAAACTTACAAAAAAACAAATAAACAAAGAAAACAGACAAAACAAAATTACAAGAAAAAAACCAAAAAGCAAAAACAAAACAGACTAGTATCTCTAAGGAAAATTGATGTACACATTTCTAACAAAATTTTAACAAACTGAACCCAATAATATATATAAAAAATAAAACACCATGACCAAGTCAAATTTACCTCACAAAAGCATGGTGGTTTAATGTCTAAAAAAAGTCAATGTTAAAAAAAAAAAAATCAATTAATGTATTTCACCATATGAAATAGTGATATTAAAAAAAAAACTAAACTAAACTAAAACCCTATAAGAGCATCTCAATAGATGTAAAAAAAGGATTTGAAAAAATCCATCATCTGTTACTGATAAAAACCTTCAGCTAACTAGGAATGGAAGAGTACTTCTTCTCAATCTGATAGAGGCTATCTATTTAAAGAAGAAGAAGAAAAAAAAAAAAACCCTATAGTTTACACTGAGTTGAATGGTAAAAATGTAAATGCTTTTCTCCTAAGATCAGCAATAAGGCAATGATGTTGCTCTCACCACTTCTATTTAACACTGCACTGAAAATTCTAGCTAGTGTAATAAGACAAGAAAAAGAAATGAAAGGAATCTAGATTTAAAAGGAAGAAGTAGAATTGTATTTAGTCACCAACAATCTGACAACCTGTTTAGGACATATTATGGAATATATATAAAAGTTATAAGAACCAGTGACTTTAGCAATATTACAGGATGTAAGATCACTATACAAAAATCAATTTCTATGTATGTTACCAATGAACAATGGAAACAGGTAATAAAGTATTTAAACTAGGATAAAAACATGAAATAATAAGATGTACATTTAATCAAAAAAGGTAAAAAAGCTATGAACACTGCAAAACATTGCTAAGAGAAACTAGAGAAGATCTAAATAAATGGAGAGATACACTGTATTCCTATAATAAATTAGCCAGTATCAGAGATGATGAATGGAGAGTCAGGAGTAGAAGAACAACTTGGAATTTAGTTAATGATTACATCATATAAAAACAGTAACAAAAATACAGTTACACCTTCAAAATTATGAACTGTAACTCCACAATCTCTGAAAACTGAAAGAGGCCTGTTTGCAGGAGATATTCTAAAATGGGAGACCACACAGAAGGCACTGGGAAGAAAGCAAGAGAATAAAATAAACGAGATGTGACGCTGGCCTTCGTAAAACAAGGCCAGATAAGAGGAAGACAGGCAGCAAGGGACGTTTACATGGAGACCTTGTAGAAGACTTTCAGACAAAATGAGGTCTTGTTAATACAAGCCCTGCAATACATAGATTAAAGGTCTTCAAAATGTGACAAAACCTTTAAAACATTAAAAAATGGCTTTAAGGCAGCAATATGATATTAATATTCTAAAAGATAAGAGATTTGTTTTGTAAATAGTCACAAATCTTAAGGCTGTTACCATCTTAAAAATGGGAAAATGATATAGAATTATAGCTAGTAAATGAAATTAGGTTCTAAAATAAGTTTTCAGTATTAGGAATCAAGTGCATTTTTCACATTTCATTGGCTATTGGCATTTCTTTGGCTAATGTTAAGTAGAGTCATACTTAACATTCAATCATTAGCATCAAAAAATAAACTTGAATGCAGACATTAAATGTCATTCCTCGTTATGAAATTTTCAACTTAAACAACCATGCCAAATTAAATTTTGAAAGCATTTAAGCCAGCTTAACTTTTGCTGGAGTATTTTACTTCTACATGCTTAAAATGAAAATGTCCATAAAGGAATCTGGATAAATAAAACAACAGATTTCATAAAAACATTTTAACTCCCTTGCATATTAATAACTTTTAAAATAACACATCTTTGTATTCATGCTGTTATGGGTAACAGTAATTAATACAAACATCAAGAGCAATCATTGTAGGAATATTGGTCATTTTTACACAGCTTGGCAAATTATCAAGTACCTGCTGGTTAATAATTTTCAAACATATGGGAGCCCTGTGGTAATACACATTAAATTGATTCTCTTTCACAAATACGGCATAATGGAAAAATGAATTATTAATCTTCTCTATAAGAAATCACTTAGCTCACTCACATTTTTGGCAATGTACAACTTAAATACAAAGTCTTTTACACAGAAACTAATTAAAAACTTTAGTAAAATATATTATGTTTACATGATCATGAAATGGTAGGTTACTGAAACCTTGTTCTTACATGTGCTATTATATAGTTCTTATTACTCTGTATAAGTTGATAAACTCTAATTTCTTTACAAATAGTTAGATATACAAAATGCATTCTCACAAAATAGTTCCTCCATTAAACAACTAAGAGCTTTACTTTACAAGTCATGGGTATCTCAAATCAACCAGTAACAACTGAAAGATGAAAAATTTTCAACCAGTTTAATTTACTCAATTTCACAAAATAAACAGTTGCCTTGAGTGACATCATTATATGTTAAGTTTAAAAGTATTTTTCAATAACCAACAATTAAAAGTTATGATTTGTATTCATTTCATTTGTAGTTAGCTTTATTATTTATAAATAAATAGTTTTTTAGTTTTCTAAAATCTTACACTGTTTTTGAAGAAAAAGGAGGGGGAAAAAATCTACTGTATTAGTAACATTTAGATTGCTTACTGATTTTATTAAGACTATGTAAATGCCCTGAATATCTGATATCAACTTCTGATGAGGCTCAAAGTCATAAATTATATGTAATTAGTCATGAAATATGAAATTAATCTAAAATTAAATATCCTAAAATAAAATAAATAATTTATTATCATATTTAAGAATCTGACATGAGACTCTACATACAATAATGGATCTGCTGAAGAAGAAGGCTTTTATGTCCCAATCACACTCCAAAAGAAAGTTCCAGGGTAATATAATCTACTACACTCCTAAAATGGGATCTTCCCCTAGAATTCTACAAAACTGAAAAAGGAGAATCCAAAGAGATGAAATAGTAGTAAAGGCAGTATGTTAATTCAATAGGACTTTATGTTAAAGTATCTGTCAGAAAATATTGAGGCTCTATGGCTTAAAAAAAGAAAAATCTACCAAGTTCACATTAACATTAGTAGTATTACACACTACAGCACATGAATATTCTTCCTGAAATGTTAATCTGTCAAGTTTAAAAATATATATGAAGGGTTTAGCAAAAAGCATGAATACATTCCCAAAATGTTCTCTTCCATCCTCATTTTATATAAATCTGGAGCCATTCTAAAGCTGAATATAAAAAGATATGCTATACTGTTGACTACAGAATACTACAAAGTTTTATTGCCATTTAAACAAAGAAGCCATAACAGTTAAATGAGCTCAAGAAATAGGTTTCAGTATCACAAGGTGCCAGCTGTAAAGAGTTATGGCTAATTGAATATGGAACTCCTGCTTAATCAGATAACTGCTCTGCTATTTCCAAATGAAATGCCATTTCCATACTGTCTGAAAATGGCCTGTTTTATTGGTAACCAGAGAAAACAATATAAACTGTAAATAACATTAAGTGCTCTGTTTACCCATTCCAGGCACTGAAGTAGCAGGGGATCCAAAACGTCTTGGTAACACATTTGATGATAAGGCTGGAGTAACAGTTCTTTCTGGGGGTCCACCAGGGGCTGAAGTGTCCTTTGGTGGTCCAGGAGAAACTGGAATTTGTGGAGGAGGGCCCTGGCTGGAGCCTGCTGGTGTTGGAGAAAGGTTTCTTTGAGCGGCAGTTCGCTGACGAATCTCTGAAAATAAGAATAAAAAGTATATATTAGGTTTAACATTTAGCATACCACCATCAGTCAATATCACAAATGACTTACATTCAATAAAGCTTTGCAGCACTAGAAATCATCTACAAGATCAAACTGCTTGTAAATAAAAAATCTGTACAATGTAACACTGAAAACTGACTACAGAGTACTCCAACTACATGTATATATTTACATAAGTCTTGATCTAAGTCTACCTACTGACACTATTTTTCAAAATAAATTCAAATAAAATAGAATCATCACCCAATTATGCATTATATCTTTTTATAATAAATCCCTCCCAAGTTATGATAAAGAAAGTTTATCAGAATCAGAGAAAACACCAGTGAAAACTGCAGAATTGTTTTTTCAAGATAAAAAATGGTAATGCTAAGAAATGAGCAAATAAGTATATCTGGAATTGTCATGTAATTTATGAAGTAATTAATCTAAGTAGTCATAGAAATGCTGAAGAAAGGTACCATTCCTATTGTCCTTTATTCTACTATCTTTTGGGATAAATTTTTTTTGTCAATACATTCAACAGAGGAAAACTTTTACTCTGCACAAATAATACATTAGAATAACAAATTTTATCTTTTTGTTGCAGAAATTACAAGAAGTTGGTAAATGAGTCAAATCCAGGCTGCCGCCTCTTTTTGTAGTTTTTCACTGAAACACAATAACACAGTTCTTTACATACTGTCTATGGCTGTTTTAGAAAAGTTTGAGTAAATACAAGAGACCACATGGCTCTCAAAGTCATTTACTATATTTACTATCTATTCCTTTACAGAAAGTTTCATGATCCCCCTCTGCACTCAGTAACATAAAATTCAATTCTATCATTCCCCATTCTCACCAATATCTTACTTGAATGTTGACAGTATGATCTCAAATAAAGATGCACTTCTAACTTTGTAATTCTACATACCACTTTAAATTATTACAAATCCTGAAATGGTAAGCTAAAACTAAAGAAGTTATTAATAAATTTTAATTGGTATGATTGGTAAAAAAAAATGCAGTTTCAGAAGCAAAATACTTTAGATTTGGACTCATTTGACAGTTAAAGATTTTCATAAAAAGCTCATTGCAATCGAAAGTACAACTTGAACACCAGATTTCAGTTTACTATAACCTTGTCAACTACTAAGAACCTGGGTCCTGCGGTCAAAAAGGTTTGGTTAGAATCCCAGCTACAGCTCCATGACCCCAGATGGGTTAACTTTGTTAAGCCTTTATTTATTTGCAAAATTAGGATAATAATATCCTAACTCAGAATTGTTATGAGAATTAAATAAGATAATGTCTTTAAGTTGACAGCTCACATTTATTGAATACAAATTTCAGATGACAGTGCTTTCATACAATTAAGTATTTTCAAATCACCATTTAGCTGTAATTACCGGGACCAACAAACTTTCCATTGGTTCTTAATTTAGTCTCTAACCCAGCCCCTGCAATAATAAATTATAAGCATGTCATCATTATATAAATGGAAATGTCCTTATATTTGGCTATTTTCCTTACAGTTTATAGAAAATTTTGAATTTTACCTAATTATTTCCTAATTAATTCTAGCAAATTAACTGGTCACTTAATTATCTTTTATTCACAAGGAACTTCTTAAAAGATAGTTACACATTAGGAAAGCCATTAAATTCTACAAATGGTACTGAGATCAGTGAAATCATATAAGGATCTGATTACTGGAATTAATTTAAAATACAAGGCATCAACATTTTTTTTTCCATTTACTTTTACTAGTTGGGGGCTAATTACTTTACAATATTGTAGTGGTTTTTGTCATACACTGACATGAATCAGCCATGGATTTACATGTATTCCCCAATCCAATCTCCCCTCCCACCTCCCTCTCTACCCGATCCCTCTGGGTCTTCCCAGTGCACCAGGCCAGTGCACTTGTCTCATGCATCCAACCTGGGCTGGTGATCTGTTTCACCCTAGATAATATACATGTTTCAATGCTGTTCTCTCGAAACATCCCACCCTCACCTTCTCCCACAGAGTCCAAAAGTCTGTTCTGTATATCTGTGTCTCTTTTTCTGTTTTGCATATAGGGTTATCGTTAACATCTTTTCTAAATTCCATATATATGTGTTAGCATACTGTATTGGTCTTTATCTTTAGATTTTTAGGTAAAACATAATTCCAAAATGGGCTTCCCTAGTGGCTCAGTTGGTAAAGAATCTGCCTGCAATGCAAGAGACCCAGGATCCATCCCTGGGTCGGGAAAATTCCCTGGAGAAGGGTATCCTTGCCTGGAGAATTCCATGGACAGAGGAGCTAGGCAAGATACAGTCCATGGCATCACAAAGAGTAGGACACGACTATGTGACTTTCACTTCACTTTCAACTCAAAAATGGTATTTTTCTTCCAGATAAATGCTTAACATTTATTATACTATCTTAAAAGTCTTTAACTTCTTGAACAAAGACTTGAGACTGCTTCCTCTGAATGTGCGTTTACCCAGTGAAAATTAACTAAAGCACACTTTTAACGTTGCTCATATGCTACTGAAAGGTAAGGTCTATAACTAAAAGGACACCATATCCAGCATTCCATAAAAGAGATTTGGCTTCATATTATTTCTAAATCCAAAATTAGGCAGACAAAAGTGAAAACTGATATAAAAGAGTCAGGAAAGGGAGAAAACATAGTTTCAGTATTTACAAAGGAAAATAAGGTAACAAAGAGTTACAATGACTATGGTTGAAAACAGCTAGCAATACAATACCAAATCTATAGTTGGTAAAGTACTATAGAATATTCTGGTAGTCTCAATGAAAAATAGCTAAGATTTATCTACTTTTAGCTATGTGCCATTTACAAATGCTTTGTATTATTAAATCTCTCAAAAAGTTTCTTGCATTCAACAAAATAGTCATATTGGACATATTGAACATTTCCCACAATCTAACGTAAAATACCATCCCCTAACAACATTTACCAAGCACTCTCCATAAATCTCGTTAGGTACAAGGACTATCCCATAAAGTTACCTCTTGACTAGAGGATATCCTTATCAATGACCAATCAATAATTCAATAAAAAATCACACTAAGTATGAGGACATTTGCTTCAGCTATGTCCGACTCTCTGAGACCCTATGGACTGTAGCCTGCTAGGCCCCACTGTCCATGGGATTCTCCAGGCAAGAATATTGGAGTGGGTTGCCATGCCCTCCTCCAAGGGATCTTCCTGAACCAGGAATTGAACCAGCATCTCTTAATGTTTCCTGCACTAGCAGGCAGGTTCTTTACCACTAGCACCACTTGGGAAGCCCAATTTTAAATTCAAAATGAATCAAATAGAATCAAAATGAGATTGAAAACTATTTTATGATAAACAAAAGGAAGAAAACAAAGTTTAAAGTAATGAAACAGAATAGTTGTTAAAAACATAAATTCTGGAATCAAATTGTCTGGATTTAAATTTTATCTCTACCCTGTTTATTAGATGTACAGGAAGGCTTTTCCAAGTTGATGACATCTCTCAGTTCAGTTTCCTCATAATGAGAATACTTACCTCTTACGGTTGTTATAAAGAATAAATGAGATAATCAACACAAAGAGCTTAGCCAGAGCACAAGAAAAGTAGTTAATAACTAATAACTATTAGAAGTGGTATACATCTAAAGGTGCCAACTTGTACAATAAATCTAAAGCTAAGCAATCTAGAAGTTTTAAAGTAATTATTAAAACAAAATATAGATATTAATTTGCAAATTAAATGTTTTCCTAGTTATTTGTGAACTTGTTTAAATGCATTATATAAAACTTAAATCTATTACTCTAGCTTGCTATTAAATACTTCTTGAGATGAATGTTCTATAATACCAATAATTATCTCTTAATTTATCAGATTCTTAAATAATGATTCCTTATACACACAGGTAGAAGGTTTTGTCTTTGTTTTGGTATTAAGCTGTAGTAGCAAAAACATCATACAATAGTTAGGAGGCCTATATTTTCATCCTAGCTGATACCACCACTTCCTTATGTGAACTAAGTCTTTTATCCACTCTGGGTTTCAAATTTCTTTAAAAGAGTGTTGGCAGAACTACAAAGACAATCCTCATATTTTCCCTAATACTGGTTAAAGGCTTTCTGAACTATCGTGTTCAGTTCCTAGCGTCATACGAAGAAATTTCAATGACTAGGATTTTAGCAACGAACAGAAAAAGGTCTTTAAGTCTATGAACAATTAGCATATGCAGGTGTGGACACTTAAATTTAGGGGAATTTGGTTCTTTATAAATGTGATCATGACATGCAGTTAGGTGGAACATGGAGACATATTTTCAGGAGAGTTTCTATTTTTGAATTTATATAAATTCAGGTCTCTCTTATTTAAATTTATATGATTCCTTTAAATAAAATAATAAAGATCATGCATCTGATATCTCCTCCTTTTACTTTCTAAATGATCTAAAGTCTACATTCACTGTATCATCTTCTTCTCATCCTACTCATACTAAGCTCCTTTAAATTCAGCTTCTGCCCTGCTTTTCTATCTGATTTGTTTTCTCAATAGGTCAATGGCCTTTTATTAACAAAAATGACTCCATAACCTTTCTCTTCCCATAGAGGCAAAGCTTTAAGGGAAAAAAGAAAAGAAAGAAGAAAAACTTTCCCAATAGTTCATTCTTCAACCTAATGCAATATGGTTTTTGTCCTCCTCCTTAGCAACCAAAGTATCACCTACCACTCGAAGTAATATTGCTTTGGTTACCAACTTATAACATCATTATTGTTATTACATATGGTGGCAATGGTTTAGTCACTAAGTCGTGTCCAACTCTTGTGATCCCATTGACTACAGTCTGCCAGGCTCCTCTGTCCATGGGATTTTCGTTATTATATATACATTTTATCAAATCCCTACTATTTGCTAGGAACTATATGAGGCATTTTGTTTGTGTTTACTAATTTCATACAGTACTCAGACCAACTTTTTCTGATAA